TATATTCCATTTATGCTACTGCGTGGCGGTGTAAACATAATTCCCCGAAATTTTTCAACGGCGAAAGTTCGCTTTTTCGCTGTTTGTTCCTTCAGTGTTTACCCACCTTTGGGCTGCGACCGCGAACATTGTTCTAGTATCTTAATATATACATATATATATGATGAGGAGAGAAAGAGAGAGAGAGAGAGAGAGAAAGAGAGAGAAAGAAAGATAGAGGGAGAGAGAAAGAGAGAATGTGTGTGATAGTATATTAATAGTAAAATTATAATTATAGTTAAATTTTTGAAATTTTTATGACAAGTAATACAGGATTAATCCGTGAAATTTTTTAAACGATGTTCTCGATCGCAGTCGTCTCAATCGTGTAACAACCTCCATCATAATATTGTATCATATACAAATATCAGTGTTGTATGAGCAAATTTCTTAAATTGAAAACAGACCGGTTGTTTCAATGTCTTACAAAATAATTGTGATGAATTGAGACTAGGGCTACAAATTTTGCTAATATGCGAATATCCAGATAATTTTTTGATGAATATTACATTATCTAATATTCTATAAAAATTTGTTTTGTTTCTATAAAAATTTATTTGTTTTTTTTATATATTTATCTGATATATTTATGAACTAAATTTGTTTGAATTTGATTTGACACTAATCATAATCGATCTGTAAACTTTATTCGCTGAAATTTAATTCGACACTTTGTAATCGCTACTCTTCTACAAAGAGTTTATTGATTGCAACAGTGATTGTTGTACCACGATGATGGAGGTTGTTCATACAAAGTGGTTCAAATCGTCTGCCATCGTCGTTAAGATTTCAAGAGAACCAAGGACGATGACAGACGTGAAGGACCAAAAAGGGAGATTAATCGAGTGAAATGGAAAAGAAAAAAAACTTTCCACGGATAGAGCGTATAAATCGCTAGAGGTGATAAGACGTTTACGATCGCGAAGGTGGAAGCTACATCGTTCGAATGAGGAAGATTTTTTGGTATTCCGTCACGATCGAGGACCAAATTTATTTCTACCGTACGATAGGAATGCGATTATCTCATCGCGCACCCTTTCTGGGGCTTCAAGCTTAAAAAGAAGAAAGAAAGGGGTGCTTTATTCATCTTTATTCAACCGGTTACAAAGCATTCTGTTAGAATTTACGCGCGTTTTTTGTTGTACATACAACGCATTTCAGGATCAACCGGTGACCTCTCACGATATTGTTCTTATCACTAATCACTATAGATAATATTTTATTTTTTCAACTCTTTATAAAAAGCAATTTTTTAGGGAAATTTGATGTTTTTTTTTCAATTAAAGAAAGATTAACACGTGGGTATAATCGTGATTTAATGATATATAATTTAATTATAATCTATATAGTATATGTTTAGGTTTAATCTTTTCATAAGTCGTTAAATGTAGAATTATATTATTGCATTGGGTACAATTGTTTTTTAATTGTCAAATAAAAAACATAAAAAAAATATTGGAATAATTTTTTTCCAATATTGCACATTGCACCGCGATTTAATCGACAAACGTGGTGATATGATTAGGGAATCATATAATTCTAATTGTTAAATATTGATATATTATTAATGAGAAATATATAAAATTAATGGAAATATCACTTTCAATTAATAATTATTTACAAAGAAGTTACTGATTTCTGTTCACTTTTTAAGGGGAAATAATTTTTTCATGATATTAACATTTTTTAAAAATAAAAAATATAGCACTTTCTGTGCAACTGATTGCTATTATTTTCCAAGATATTTATTCTTACTCAATATACATATATCATGTCAGATATCTTGTATATCCGCTGATTGGTAAGTTATCGATTGCAATTCAGCATCTTACTGTGTATAATAATAATAATAAAATTATGCGTTAATGCATCATGCTAGGAAGACGATTGCACATTTATTAGCTTCAACGCTTTGTAACCGGTCGTGAATAATCATTTGGGACATTGTTGTAATAATTTCGATAGTCAATGACTGGATCGAACGAGAACTCGCATAAACGATTCCAGCTTGAAGAAGAAATTATTGCTGTCAGATTTTGTACACGATGCGTTTTTTCTTAAATAGGACACACACATTCATTTTGCTTCAACAATTTCCTGTTGATGTCTGAAATTACTGAATAATATATTTCAGATATCTGAAATTACTATATCTCGAATAGCTCGATCGAATTTCACCGCTATGTATCATCATTAATTATAAAACGAATTTTTCAAGACTCGTCTTAAGAGCGTCGCCCCCTTTTATCGGATCAAAAGTACTGCACATACAGAATAATAATCCCTCGATTGATCGCGAATTAATTTAGCAATTAAATTTTGATGACACTTGCTAAATGAGAAGATGAGAGACACGGAATTTACAGTAATCTCGATCGCTCTCTCTTTATCGTTGAATTCGGGACATTTTACACGATGTATTTTGTATAAAAAAAGAAAAAAATAGCATAGTGTGAGTAAGGATGTCTTTCTGGAGGATCATCGAGGTCTGTTCTTCTTGGACGCACTCCCTACGCTTTCGCCCTCTTCCTTTTTTCTCTTTCCAAAGCGTAAAGGTATGTAGTTGTTTCGTTTTTAAGTATAGAAAGCGTGAGAGGAGTACAAGAACAGACCCGATGATTCGATGACGTAGAGGTGTAAATCGCGACGGAGGAGGATGCTCTAATATATAATTTTATTATTCATTTATCTTAATTCGGCGAATTAGTAGGACACACGAAGGATTGAATCGCTATTCTTCAACGAGGGATTGCGCCCTTTATGTTAAATACGTCCTTGTATATTGCTAAGTTTTAAATGTATGTATGTTCGGACTTGGTCATTATCTCTTTATTTAAAAATATATATTTCGCATTTATATTATTATTGTATGGAAAAAAAGCGATTATGTATATGATAACAAAAAAATGAAATGGAAAGTCTATTTAAGTTATGTTATATATTTAAGGCTTCTCGGTACTCACCGTGGCCATGTTGGATCGTGACGTCACAGCGAGAAAATATTTTAACATTGTTTAAATCCTCCGAAAACTTTTTGACAGTCAACAATCGTAAAATAATTGAAATGTCAGACTTTTTCATGCGAAATGACTGCGCATATGCAAATCTATATACGGATCAAACTTTATATCACAATCATTTTACAGCTGTTGATTGATTGTAAAGGGAAGGTTAGTTTTATATTTTATATATTTATAAATAATATAAAAAATATTTTAAAAAACTATTTAAAGTTGTGTTTCGTCAAAATATCTTTTTATCTAAAAATAACACGCAAAAATTTTCAGCGTGCTGCATTTTCTCGCTTCTGACATCACAATTCAACATGGCCGCGGCGAAGACTCAGGATCCTCAGCGGCATGTTGTTATTTATTTCGATTCGGATCAGGATAGAAATAATTTATTGTTGAGAGAATGTAAGATAATATATATGATAATGATCAAGTCCCGTTCTTAGTTTTACGTATAAACGCGATCGAGAGGGACTGATCCGATATCGATCGCGATCGAAGGGCATAAAGAAATGAAAGAAACAGTAGATATATATAAAGAAAATCGAGTCGCGCGCATAATTTGTTTTTCGCGGATCAGCCGGCGAAATCGCGGACAAGAGCCGAATGTGGGTCAGTCGATTTATTTGTCAAGAAGGCGCACTCACATTTCGGAGCAGCATCTCTCCCAGCCTCTTTCTCACCCTCGACCGACCCCCTTCTCTCTTGTAATTAATTTACATACGACATATTCATTGTAACACCGATTTACACACATAAACATGTACACATACACGTATACACACACACACACATAGGCTGTAAAATTCGCGCGGCTGACCTCACACATTCTACGGATTCACGCATGATTATCGACATAATTATAGATACCTATTACGAGTATAGCATTCAATAGCATAAATAATAAAGTAATTAAATAAATGTCACATATGTATCCTATCAAGTATGATATTTGACGTACGTTTAATCTCGACAATGATTATTAATTGAAGTAACCAAAGTTCTAGCGCGCAGATTTTAATGAAGAAATTTTATGAAAAAAGTGTCGCTCCAGATTACTAAAGGTAAGTGAATCTACCTACATTGTACGTTGCAGAATTTTATAATCAGTGTTTGTTATCTAAATAAAATTATATAGATGATTATCTAGATAAAATTTTGGCGTCATCTTTATATAGATGATAAAAATATGTATTATCTATATATCTGCGTCTTAGATGAAAAAAATTTTATCTTTACTATGTTTCTACGTTATCTAGAATAATATTCAGATAATTTGTTTTACAATCGTAACCAGTATTATGCTCAGAATTTCAAAATTAAGATGAAATAAAAATACTTAAATTTATCTTAGATAAGATAAAGATGATTATTCTAGTTTAAATATATAGATAAATTCTAGATAATATTACTTTTATGTAAAAACAATTATAAAAAAATGTAAACGATAAAAGAGATGTAAAAATATTCAGACTTTTATTTATAAGTTTTTATCGCTTAATGCTCAAGTTTTAGTAATAAACTAAACCAAATTATCTGAACATTATTCTAAATAATTTGATACTACAGATAATACAGATAACACTTTCATCTAAAATGCAGATATAGATAATACACATTTTTTATATCTATATAAAGATAACATGACGTCAAAATTTCGTCTAGATGATCATCTATATAATTTTATTTAGATAACAACAAACACTGATTATAACATAAAAATACTTAAGTAGTAGAACGAAGTAGTAAAAGCGATAAATATTTACAAATAAACATATGAATATTTTTATTATCCCCTTTATAATTTATATTTTTTTATAACTGTGTTTATACATCAGTGCTCTTAAAAATAATATTATCTGTGTGGAAGTTATCTAGATGAATCGCCATAATATGTTTAAATTCAAAGTCATCTTATCTTATTAAAATAAAACATTTTCTCATCTTTATCTAGCTAATTTTAAAATCCCCTAAACATAACACTGTTTAAAATCGAGAGAAAAGCGCTGCTGCTCTCTCTGTACATGCAAATTTCACCAGAACACATAGTATGAGAAATTTTCTATTACTGAAAAATTGAATATCTCCAATAAATAATGTCACCAGATTTTGATACGAAATATCACATTTTTTAATCACATATTCAAGACACTTGCGTTCGAACCGGCGAACAAAAAAAATCAGCTTGTCAAAAACGCTTTATTTTTGCCTATATTCTTTTTACACGAGATATATACTTATCATATGTCAGTTATGGAAACTAGTTTGATTGCTATGATAAACGTAGGGGGAAGCAAGAAAGAGCGAAAGCGTTATATGAAATATTAATGTGTTCTTTACTCTGGAAAGAGAACATTATGAGGGAAGGTTTTTATTCGAGTGATATAGTTGTGGCGAGTAGAAGTTATTTTTTTTTTCGAAAAGTATGAAGTTCAACAGGAACTATTACGATATTAGTAAATGGTTCTTGTTGTTGGTCGGTCAGTGGCCTTATCAGAAGCCGAAAATGAGACTAATCATTTTTGTTTTATATTCATGATATTAGTTAATTGTTTTATTACACAGGTAACATTATCGACGAGAGAATATTTTTTTCTGCAAAAGCTTCGTTGAAATTTTTCTTATATATCGAAGATATTATATATATATATATATATAATTTAATTAATTATATATTTAATATACATATATATATATATATAATATATATTTAATAATTTAATGGGAAATTTTTTATTGAATTATAGATAATCTATGTAATATAATAAATATTGGGTTTGGAAAAAGTTTGTGGCGTTTTTTTAGTAAAATTCAACTGATTTTTTTGTAGTGTGAAAATGAATTTATTAAATCAAATATGCTCCATTATTATGGACAATGTTTCGCATTTTCGGATAGAGCCATGATGCGGTGAAGAACTGTGGTTTCTGGTTGAAAAACTGAATCAAGTGATTTTCACAGGCTTCTTTGAAAGCAACTTAATTCCATTGAGAAAGTTCTGCAGAGATCGGAATAAGTGATAGTCAGAGGGTGCTATGTCTGGACTATACGGTGGATGCATCAAAACTTCCCAACCAAGTTCTCGCAATTTTTGACGGGTCATCAAAGAAGTGTGTGGTCGGGCGTTGTCATGATGGAAGACAACATCTTTCTATTAATCAATTTGGGCCGTTTTCTTTCAATTGCCTGGCGTAATCTCTCTAGTTGTTCACAGTAGAGTTGAGAATCAATCGTCTGACCAACTGGAAGTAGCTCATGGTGGACAATTTCCTTTCCAGTCTAACCACACACACAGCATCACCTTTTCGGTGTCAATCCTGGCTTCGCGAACGCTTGTGACGGCTCACCATCCCTTGTCACGATCTTTGACGTTTCCAATTGTCGTGCGTGATCCATTTTCATCACCGGTTATGACACGTTTCAGAAATGGCTCGATTTCATTGCGTTTCAGCAGCGCATCGCAGATGTTAATTCGGTCTATCATGTTTTTCGCGCTCAATTCATGAGGATACCAATATCGACACTGCTGATATGCTTATCTTGCTGGACTTTTTCAAGAATTTCATCAGCTTTTTCGGTGATTGGACGACCAGAAGCGTGACTCATCTTTCATATTAAAATTACCAGAACGAGCGAATCATTTCCGCGCAGCAGATTTTGATAAAGTACCTTCACCGTATACAGCACACATTTTTTCACAAGCCTGCGCAGCGTTCTTCCCTTTGTCATAATAATATTGCAAAATATAGCGCAATTTTTAATTATTTTTCTCAATTTTCAAACGCAAATAACTTCCAACCACTGCACCAATTTCGATGTTCAAACACTCAAAAGTAAAGCTCGAAGTGTCACCTTTCCAACGAGCGTTTAGTGGTGTCGATCTGTCTTTTCTGAGTTATTTGCAATTAACGATATCTATCGGGAAAAACGCCACGAACTTTTTCCCACACCCAATATATATAATATCTATATATGTATATATTGTTAGATTTATTTATTTTAGAGTATCTTCAGTTTTTATTTAAAAGTTTTTTTGTCTTTCCATGGGCGCAGGATAAATGCAAGTATATTTTTCAGATAGCCCAATTCATTATATGTGAAAACACACAGTGTATCTTTCAAACTTTACCTTCGCACTTGTTAGTATGGAATTGTCTAGTAAAACTGTTGACGTATCGATTTAACAACCAGCAAGTAAGTTAATCGGTATAATTCGACTACATATTTTTAATTCGAAGCTAGCATTGTGAATTGAAAAATTTTAGCTTTAGAATCTCTTGCTTCTATTTTTCGTAACTGTTTGTGAATATATTATATTCAAGATATCAAATATATCGATGGATGTTTGTAGATTAAAGATTTGACTGATCACTTATTCGTAGACTGGGATACTCTGCAGACTCAGCAGGAACGTGAGATTTTGAAAAAATATGCCGAGAATGGCAGGCGGTACGCGTTGATATATGCCAGCAAGTAAACTCATCCCTTATATTCTTGTACTTAGAATTTTTTCTATTCAATAAATATAAATACGAGCGGCCATTAATTGCACACTAGTTTACAGTCAGAAATTATTTTCAACCAAAGAAGGTATTTCTGACATATTTTTGAATGTTAAAAACCAGGGTGATTAGTAACTAGAAATTCTAATTTAATATAAATGTAATGTTTTTAAAATTAACTTTTAATTTAACTTCAGTTAATTTAATCTTAACTTTAACTGATCTGTGAGTTCATTTTTTGTTCATACAACTTTTAACTTAACTAAATTAATTTTATGAGCAAATAATTTTAACTTGGTTTAAAAAAATCATTAACTTACCCAACTCTGTTGAAAACAAAGCTATAATAAGGATGTATAGAAATATATTAATGAAATATTAGACATATATTCTTGATGAAATTCGTTCTATTTTGAAATGACAGTGTTTCTTCTATAGATTTTTAGTACTGAAAACGAAACTAATTTTAAAATGTCACGTTTTCGAAATATAAAAATAGCTTTTTTATTTTTTTGAGTTTTTCTGTAAAAATGTTAACATTATCTGAAAATTCGTCTGATCAAATGTCACGAATATATATATTGTTCATTTTCTATAACAGGCATTTTTAAAATTTCGATACTTTATTTTTTAGAATCATATTATGAAAGATTAAAACTGAAAATTACTTCTCACATAGGATATCTGTCCTCTTATTTTTTTCAGCATCTAAAAATTTATATATAAGAAAAACCTTGTCTAGTTTAATATAATGAAATAAAATGATACTTTGTAAACTCGCGTTATAATAAAATAGAATATGCATGGAAACACATATTAAACTAAATTTAATATATTACATATATTAAACATATTAAACTAAATTTAATATATTAAATTATATTTAATTTATAGAAATTTATAGAATTTATAGAAATTTGAACATTCATGAAATATTAGACAGTCTTGACGAAATTTGTCCTTATTGCAGCGTATTGCTACGTGACTGGCAGTTTATTTATGGTAACTGCTCTCGTACCAAAAATCTTGGACGTCGTGTTTCCTTTAAATACTTCACGACCAATAATGTTAGCATATCCGGCATACTATTTGTTGACGAAGAGCAATATTTCTATTATATTTTTTCCATATGCTAATTACCGCCGGGATAAGTCTAACTGGATTAATTGCGCACGACTGCATGTTCTTTATTTACATCGAACACGTTTGCGGCCTTTTCGCAGTGGTCGGGTAATGATTACTTATATACTTTACAATGTTGTGCTTAATGATTTCAAAATTAACTATACGAAATTAACTTCAAAATTAACTATACTCGTATAAAGATGAGATGAAGATATGTAAACTTATCGTAGATAGGGGATAAAGATGATTTCGTTTTAAATATATCTAGATAAAAGATAAAATTATATATGACGATTCACCTAGATAACTTTTAGATAATATTATTTTTAAAACGCTAATATAAATAATTCTAAAAAAATATAAATTATAAAAGTATAAAAAATAAAATATACATTTATACTTTTATTTAGTTTTGTCGCTTATTGCTAATTAATAAGTTCTACTACTGTTAAAATAAATATTTTTTGTGGTATGAAAGAGAGAGAGAGAGAGAGAGAGAGAGAGACAGAGAAATTTTTATTATTTATTTTATTATCTATTATAAAGATAAGATGACACCAAAACTTTATCTAGATGATCATCTATATAATTTATTTGTTTAACAGTAAACATTGCTGGTATATTTTATGTTTAGAAAATAAATGGAACTTTTCGTTATTGCTTACAAAAATGACAATTCTTCAAATTTTAATTTTAAAATTGTCCTGGACATTTGCAGATTTCGATTTGAACATATATTACATAAACGCAATAACGCGAGAAGAAATTTGGTTGATGCTCTGATGACATTTATCGTAAATATGTTGCATTTCGGTTTGTGCACATCGAGAAACCTTGCAGTAAGATTATGACATCGTGATGAATTTCTTTCATAAAATTATTTTAAGGGGATGTTAGATAAGTTAGAACCACACATATCTAAATAACATATGCACGTATACACATATACACATGATAGGTTAGCACTACACATATCTAAACATATGCACGTATACACAATATGCATGAAAATTTTCTGCACCGCGTTTTCTTATTTATTAAGTTTCTAAACTTATATTTAAAAGTTTACTAATATTTTTCATTCAATTTCTAGTCGGAACCTATCTTATTTTGTACGTACAAACAGCAGAACTTTTATATTAAACAATTATTGTTTCGACTTGACGACAGAAGTCGATAAAGAAATTTTAGTTAAAAATTTTTTTTTGTTTTTAACATAAAATCGGTAAGTTCCCACTTTGTTTCTGTGCGCACTTTAATTGTGGAAAAGCATTTATTATTTTATTAAACTAATAAAAAGTTTTCGGTGCAGAAAGATCTATAATTGTCCGATCGATAAAACAGACATCCAACATCCTCTTAATTAAGACTCTTTGATCTTCGCCGCGGCCATGTTGGATTGTGACGTCAGAGGCGACGAGAAAGCACGCACGCTGAAAATTCTTAGATGCCATTTTTAAATGAAAAAGTATTTCGATTAAACACTATTTCAGATCATTTTACGGTTATTGATCTTCTGTCAAAGGAAAAGTATAGTTTTCGAGGTATTTTAAAAGTGTACTAGTAATACATCTCTTTTGACAGTCGATCAATAACTGTAAAATGATCGTAATATCAGACGGAATAACTGCGGATGTGGAAAGAGCAGACAAACTGGGTTTTATATTACAGTCATTTTACAGTTACTCATTGATTATAAAGAGAAAAGGAAATTTTCGAGGTATTTTAAGAGTGTGCTAAAGCCATCTAAAATGCTGTTTCATCTCTTTTTACTTCGAAATGGTATCTAAGAATTTTTAGCGTGCGCTTTCTCGCCTCTAATATGTCACAATTATAACATGGCCGACGAGGAGCCAGGAGCCTTAATATTTGGCAATAATCACGATAAGTTTATTGAATTTATCTTTTTTAACTGTAATTATTCTTGTATTTTCATAATCTAGGTTTGCGAAACTTCTTGAAAATACTTTTACGATATCATTTGCTATGCAACTCTTAATTGCTACAATTGGTCTAGTGTTACCTTATTACAGGTAAGTTATTAACAATTATATCAAGATGTGAGAGTTTTGAAAAATATAATGCAGATCTAGAACATAGGTATTATTTTATTCAAGATCTCGATGCAGTCAACTGATTTAATGGAGGCGACGAGATATGTTCTCTACATACTTGCGCAATTATTCCATTGTTCTGCTTCAGTTTTCAAGGACCAAAAGCTGATAGATCATAGTCTCGAAATTTGTAATAAGATGTAAGATAAAAAATAATCAAAGTAATTAGTCAAAGAATAAATTGACTTCGGCCAAAATATAGAAAATCTATTTTCTGTATAAAATATTTACCGGAATTTTGGCACTTGTTATAATTATCATTGTACACATTGTAATATAAAGTATATATAATCTACAATATATTTATTTCATACATATATATATATGTTAAATGCTAATTTTGTAGATATGATAGCTCGTGGTACGAGATACCTGTGAGGGCACAAAAACTGCTTTTGATTACGATGAGAAAAAGCATCGAAGCTAGTACTGTGACTGCCGGCAAGATATACGTATATTCTTTGCAAAGTTTCACAGGGTATTAATTCAATTATCGGTGATTCTGGATAAGCACATAAACTATGTGCATATGCAAGATATACATATACTGAAAAAAAGTATCGAATTCAAATAAATTATTTTAATATTTCTTTATTTATTTGAAACTAATAATATTGATTTGACGTAAAAAATATTTATTTGATATAAGAAATTTCAAAACACATGAAATATTTATTTGTTTCAAATAAATGATACATAAAAGAATATTGAAATAAATATTTGAATTCAAGATTTTTTTTCAATGTACAGTCGGACGAACGTAAAATTTTTGACTGTTTTTAATTTAGGTTCTGCAAACCGCTATGTCGTATTTTACGGTGCTGGCGTCCTTTAATAAATGACTCGATGATGGTGATTCTAGCATTCAGAGATAACACTAAAAAAATTCTGCAGAAATATAGAGAAATTATATAGAGAAACTTATATTTTATAGTCATATTTATATTTAAAATTTCTAAACTAGTAAAAGCCAAGTTATAATGCATGAGTTTAAAAGAAAATTGATTTTTCTTTTAAACGGAATCCTTAAAAATTCACTGGATACATATTTTCATTGATGGCTTATCAAGGACTTCAATAAAATATTTAATTCAAGATTTTTATTTTTATTCAACCTTCCGGAGAGAGACTATTCCCCCTAAATAGCAATTTCGGTCTTCTTAAAAGAGATCGATTATGTTTTTCACATAAGAGCTTTACTAATTTTCTTCTTAATTCATATTTTATATTCTTTAAATGTGCCATCCAAAATTTTATTTTGTTATCGATATTTCTTCATATCTACTCGATATAATGTTTTTTTTGAGTTATATAATATTAATTATTTGATACACAATTTTTTTACTAATTACACATTATACTTTTTAATATTGATATGAAGATAAATGAATTTTATAGAAAAAGAAATTTTCGTGAGAACTGTACTTTTAATTTTCTTTTTCTGCTTAGATAAAAATTAGTTTGAGATTATAAATAATACATATAGTGATAATATTTGTCTTTAGTAATTTTTCAGGTGATAAAACAAGAGAGGGCAGTATCGATATTAAAGGAACGTATATAGTTAGGTAAATAAAATAAAAATTATAATTTTTCGCAGACCAATTATAAAAAAAATAAATGTAGTTGTGTTCATTCTATTATTTGTCAAATGACAAACGCATTTTTAATCTCATTCAATTTTTTGGGTTTTGTGATTAATTCAAATATGTTTTATTGTAGTATATATTTTAACTGTTACACACAATTATAAAACTCGCATAATTAATCACGCTTTATATGGACGATTGAAACACATACACGTTATTATTTACAATTTACGTAATTATAGATATTTTTAAAAATATATAATATTCTGTTGCGGATTGGAGAGAGAGAGAGAGAGAGAGAGAGAGAGAGGAGAGGAGAGAGAAGAGAGAGAGAGAGAGAGAGAAGAGAGAGAGAGAAAGTGGTGTGTGTGGGTGTGTGGGAATGCATCTCGGAGTGCATTCTTCGCCTTGCGACAGCGCAGCTAACTGCGCTGAAATAGCCGCTCGAATTTGGCGACGATTCGCGCTAAATCCCCGTGCGCCAATCGCGAGCGAACGCGCTCCGCCATATCGCAAGACCGCGCGCGTCTTTAACGCTCGCAATACCTGTCGTTTTGAACGGTGACAGATAACCGTCTCGTCATAAATATAACCGACGACAACAAGTGATTTTGTCCTCCGACATTCGAGAGGATTCTATCGTCATGTGGAAGGAACACAAACACGGTGTTCCTTACCTCGGAACTCTCTCGAAGGTCGGTAGAAAACAATCACGTTGGTTCACGTCCTCTCTTGTCGAACGGATCTATCGGCGTACGGTCGTTCGCGCGTACAGACAGCATTCCTTTTCGCTCTTCTCGATTTTCGTCGCACTTCTCGCGGGAGATCGATTTTTGTCGTTGGATTGCACTTCCGGCAATCATTGCACGCTTCTAATTGCAGTTCACTTGCATTAGAGCGTTTCTTTTGCACTGTGTAATTATTTGTAAAATATATTGTGTGCCGTGAACTTTCTTTATTTTTTTCTTTTTTTCTGTGCCGTCCTAAACTTGACACTCGCGTCCGCGCACTAACTAAACACTCCGCGTAGCACGGAATATTGCACATATTCAATAAAGCGTAAACAATAAAATAATTATAAATAAATGTCACATGTGTGACAGATACATTAATTTTATTTTTCAATTCAATGACAATTCGTCGAAAAAAATATTGTAAAAAGATCCGACTTAGTTTCATGTCAAACATTTCAAAAATTAACGAAGAAGTCAAAGTTTCCTCCAGATGACAGATAAATAAAGCAATATTGCGCAGCTGGAATTTTATGATATCGAAAAGGAGTTGTATATGAAAAATTCGAACTTTAAAAAGAAATCCTTTCCAAGAGGTGCTTTTCTATTGCTATAAATTACACCGCACGCGCATAATAAATAGCATTGAACAAACTAATCGATACGCGATCAAGACGTTCTCGCACATATTTTATATTCTATACACACACGTGTTCGAGTCGACGAACACTTTGAAAAAAGAGCCGGCCTGTCAACGCTATATCTTCACTTGCATTATATTTACACGAGACGTATACTTATTGTAAGTATACATCAGACTTGTTTGATTACTATGTCGCGGTGGGGAAACAAAAAGAGCGGAAGTTATGTGAATGAAATATTAATTTATTCTCTCCGCGATGGAAGGAGGCACCGCGAGGGAAAGTTTTTTTTTTTATGCCAGATATTCGAGCGATGTTGCGGCTAACAGAAACTATTTCTTCAAAAAGTATGGAACACAGGAATTATTATTACGATATTAGCAGGAGATTCTTGTTGATGATCGGTCAGTGGCCTTATCAGAAGCCGAAATAAGAATATCCTTTTTGACTTTGATAGTCATAATTTTCGCAAATTGTCTTTTTACACAGGTAATATATATAATTATCGACAAGTGAATTTTTTCGGCACTTAACATCGTTGAGATTTTTACTTCGTATATTAAATAGATTTTGTTAAATTTTTCCGGGATATATCCTGTGTATTTTTAAAATTTAAATTTAAATATAAATAATAAAATATAAATTTAAAATATAAATAATAAATATTATTTTAAAATATAAATAATAAATATAAATTTAAAATATAAATCATAAAATATAAATTTAAAAAAAAAACCTTTCCTCAATGGTAAAAGTCGATCAAACTGGCAATTATTTATTATAAGTAATTAGTTAAAATACAACGTTTCGGCTGTCATTGCAGCCCTTTTCAAGTAAATCTATAAAAAGTTACATAAAAATAATTACAATTTTAATACATTTCATCGCAACAAATAATTATAAATTTATATACAAAAATATGTTACATATCAAACGTAAATGCATAATAAATTAATACAGTAAATCAAATTCATACTGCATACCACCGACAATATTCACCATTGTTTTAACAATGTAGAATTGACAGAAGTAAGCAAGAAATAAATAGATGTTAACAGTTAGCAAGAATCTTAGTCACTACGCGTTAAGAAAATCGAGACAAAACTAATGTTTCTTTCGCAATCTAAAACCTCATAACAAAGTCAAATAAATAAATAAATAGGTAAAATAGGTTTGTTGCGATGAAATGTATTAAAATTATAATTATTTTTATGTAACTTTTTATAGATTTACTTGAAAAGGGCTGCAATGACAGCCGAAACGTTATATTTTAACTAATTATTTATAATAAATGATTGCCAGTTTGGTCGACTTTTACCATTGAGGAAAGATTTTTGTTAATTATATATATATATATTACTGGCTTAATGATTATTATCTGATAATTTAAAACATAAATAATTTTTTAAAGGCAAACAAGTGGACGTATACATTTTTTTTCAGATAGCGCAAATTTTTGTTTGCGAAGACACACAATGTATCTTTCAAACTTTACCTCCACACATGTTAGTATGGAATTGTCTGGTAAAAGTGCTAGCATATCGATTTAACAGCCAGAAAGTATGTTTTATTAATTATAATAAAATTGGTTATCTAAATTCGAAGCTATAGATGTATACAAAATCTTAGTTTTGATTATTATTTATATTTTTGTACACTGAAAAAAAATTTATTGAATTCGAGTAAATATTTATTTCATTACTGTCTAATAAATCATTTATTTGAAACTAATGATATTGATTTAATGTGAAAAGTATTTATTTGCAATAAGAAAATTCTTTTTAAAACAGAAAAATATTTATTTGTTTCAAATAAATGATTTATTAGGCAGTATTGAAATAAATATTTATTAATTTAATAATTTTTTTTCAGTGTTGCTGTTTGCGAATATTATATTCAAGGTATCAAATATATCGGTGATGTTTGTAGATTAAAGATCTGACTGATCACTTATTCGTAGACTGGGATACTCTTGAGACTCAGGAGGAACGTGAGATTTTGAAAAAATATGCCGAGAATGGCAGGTGGTACTCGTTGATATATGCCTGCAAGTAACTCCGTTATTGTTATTTGAGAATTTTTTTATCTATAGAGACAAATATAGAACCGTTCGACATGAATTACGCACTAGTCTACAGCTAAACATTATTTTGAACCAGACAAGGCGTTTCTTATTTATGTTTTTTAATATAAGTATTTTAACGTATTTTAAATTTTAATTCTTTAATACTTTTTAACATATTTTAAAATTTAATTCTTTAATATATTCTAAAATTATTGAAGAAAATTTGACTCTATATTTTAGTAAAATTAATCAAACATATTTTATATTTTATTGTGATAAATATTGTGTAATATTTTTTATAGTAAATATTAACCAGAGAAATTCTTATAAAATTCTTCCAATATCATATTGTCTCACGATTATCATGATTTTCAGGGTAAATTCTAAGAGAAAATTCTCTCTGTGCAAAAATGGTTTGTTTGATATTTGACTTTTTTTGTAAAAAAGATTAACGTTATCTGAAAATTCTGATCAGATGTCATAAATATATTATGCATTTTTTATTTTGATATCTTATTATTTTATCTATATTATTAAAAATAAAAACTGAGAATTATATATATATATATATATATAGGACATCTGTCACTCTATCGTTTTCAGCATCCAAAAAATCTATAAGAAACACCTTGTCCAGTTTAAAATAATAAAAAAAATTTGTTTTATAAATTAGTGTTATAATAAGGATGCATAGAAACATATTAAATATTTATATAAATTTAAACGTCTATGAAATATTAGACATACATTGTTGACGAAATTCGTCCTTGTTGCAGCGTATTGTTACATGTCTACCATTTCATTTATAACAACTTCTCTTATACCACAAATCATGGACATCGTGTTTCCTTTAAACACTTCACGTCCAATAATGCTAGCATATCCGGCGCACTATTTCGTTAACGAAGAGCAGTATTTCTATTACATTTTTTTCCATATGCTAATTACCGCCTTGGTATGTATGACTGGGTTAATTGCGCACGACTGCATGTTCTTTATTTACATCGAACACGTTTGCGGCCTTTTCGCAGTGGTCGGGTAATGATTATTCATATATTTTATAAACAATAATGATACATAACGAAAATATGTAAATGAACATATTTAATATTTAATATAAATAATAACAATATTTAATATAAATGGAAAATATTTAATATAGATATTTTTCAAAATTTATAGGGATACATTTATTGATCTAAATATTTGCAGATTTAGGTTCCAACATGTATTAAATAGACGCGATATCGCGGATGCAAATTTAATCAATTGTCCGAATGATCTGTACCATAAAGATGTTGCATTTTCGGTTCATGCTCATCGAGAAGCTCTGCAGTATGTTCGTAACAATATTGTGATTTTTTAAACAGAGTTTGAAACAATTTATAAATTTTTAATATATAAATTTATAATTTATAATTTATAATTTATTTAATAAATTTATAATTTATAATTTATTTAATAAATATATAATTTATATTTTATGATTTAAATTTCTTATTTAACTGATGACTTCTCCTTATTTAGGTTTGCAAAACTTCTCGAAAATGTCTTTTCTGTACCATTCGCCATTCAACTTATGATATCAACATTGTCTATTAGCGTTAGTTTACTTCAAGTAAGTTATTTATACAATTAAATCAATATACGAGTGCTCTAAGAAATATAATTTAGGTCTAAAATCATATGATTCCATTCAAGTTCTCGATGCAGTTGAATGATTTAATGGAGGCGACGAGATACTTTGTCTACATACTTGCTCAATTATTCCACTTATTCTGCTTCAGCTTTCAAGGACAAAAATTGATAGATCATAGTCTTGAAATTTGCAACAAAATGTAAGATAATATCAGAATCAATTTTTCATCAATTAACTTAGAATCAATTTGTACATAATTTAAATAAAATTCAATTTATAAATTTATATGAATTTACCTTTAAATCTATTTTTAAATAATTATTTAAATTTTATTTATAAAAAAATTTTTTAGCTTTGCTTTGGATAAAAAAATCTACTTTCCATATAAAATATATTAAAAAAAATTTTAATTACTTGGAATTTTCATTGCATGAATACTTTGTGTATAATAATTTGTTTCATAGTTATAATGGTGCATGGTACAAGATACCCGTGAAGGGGCAAAAATTGCTCTTGATTACGATGAGAAAAAGCATCGAGGCTAGTACTTTGACAGCCTGCAAGATATACGTATTTTCCTTGCAAAATTTCACAATGGTAAAGCAAACATCGTGGAAGATATTGCGTAATCAGTGTTGTGCTTAGATAATTTTAAAATTGGCTAGAAAAAGATGAGATAAAAATATGAAAATTCATTTTAAATGAGATGATTTTGTTATAAATATATCTAGATACAAGATAAAATTATATGGCGATTCATCTAGGTAATTTTATAGATAATAATTTTTAAGACTGCTTATGTAAACACAGTTATAAACAAATATTTACAAAAAGATATAAAAATATATGTATTCGTATTTTTATTTTGTGCTATGACTCTAAACCAAAATTATCTGAAAATTATTCTAGATAATATAGTAAAGATAATACTTTTTTTAATCTAATATGCAAATATAGATAATACATATTTTTATGATTTATATAAAAGTAAGATGACGCCAAAGTTTTATCTAAATAATCATCTATATAATTTTATTTAGATAACAGCAAACACTGATCGTAATAGATACTTAAATATTGTGCGTTCGTAACATATCGTACACATATAAAAATTTTCATTCTTTTAATATAGGTCCTGCAAACAGCGATGTCATATTTTACAGTGCTAGCCTCCTTCAGTGAATGACTCGACTGTGTTTCTAGCATACGTAGTGAAATGACACTCTGAACATTTTTACAAGCATATAGTATTACAAATTATATAAAAACTATTTATATTTTATATCGTTTGCAGTATGACAATTTAAAGCCAATAAAATTTTATTTTGTTATCGACATTTCTGCATATCTACTCAATATAATATTTATTATTATTATTATAGTGTTTTTTTATTTATATTTTATCGTTTAAAATATAATTAAGGCCAATAAAATTTTATTTTGTTTTAAATATTCCTGCGTACACTGTAAAAAAATTTGTAATGTATTACACAAAAATATGTAAAATTACATAAATAATAAGTGTAAAATTCCACGATAAATAATAGAAATATTTACCTTTTCATTATTTATCATGTAATTTTACATTCATTATTTATGTAATTTTACATATTTTTTTTACAGTGTATCTACTTAATACAATATACGAATTATTATAGTATGTTTTCTCTTTTTGCATAGTACAATTATTAATCTTTATTTATTACTGTTTTAATTGTTAACTATTTATTATTATTATTTATTATTATTACTATTAATAATTTATTAATATTTTTAATTATTAATTTATTAGCTGTACATTATATTTATGCGACATTGATGTTAACATGAATAAATTAAAAAAAATATCATCTTTATCATGATAATATTTTTGTGTTTTGGATATAAAAATAAATAAAGTAAAAATAATTAATTAAAGCAACAAATTACTGTCAAACTTTGATGAAAATATTCAAGTCTTGTAGCTTTATAGAGGTAAGTAAAAATAGAATATTATGGTTAAAATTTTATAATTTAAATTTAATTAATGAAAGGCTTGTATAAATTAACAAAATTAAAAGAAATAAATATTGTAGGCCAACTAAACGAGCAAAATTACATAAGATCTAAAGATTTATTAATAATTAATAACAACACATTAATTACAATATTTATTTCTTTTAATTTTGTTAATTTATACGAGTCTTTCATTAATTAATTTTTATACATACAATATTTTATATACACGTAAAATTTATTGAATATTAAAAACAACGTAAAAATATGCACACTATATTTTTTTATTGAAAAATTATCAATACCTAAAAAATAGTCATTATCTGACTATTTGGTGCGATTGTCACATTTTCTAATTGTATGTCTAATGTTCCATACACTTAATTTAGAGTCGACAAACTTAAAAAGTTAACAAGAGATTAAAAAACAACTAAAAAGATATTTTTATTTAATAATTTTAATTTTATATTACATATTATATTTTACATTATATTACAAAGGATTGTGATTATATTTAAAATTTGATACATAAAATAAATGTATAATATTTTAATGTTATTATTTATTAAATATATGTATATTCCAATTTTACAGTAAATATATTTTTCATATAATTTGTACTGTAAAATTTTCTTTGTGCTTAGATTCACACACATATTATTATCTACATAATAACAAATATCTATTACGAATGTAGCACATTCAGCAACATAAATAATAAAATTATTAAATGCCACATATATTTTATCAGAATGATATTTTTAATTTCACTAATAGTAAAAATCAAATAAAATACACGAATGACCATTGAAAATCAATGAAAGGAATCTGAATATGTAAACTTCACTAAGTCGAACATTATAAGGACATCGTACTTTGATATTGCTGATGAATTGAACAGTACACGCACAATATGTAACTAGTATCACCAGACTGTTCGATCAAAGACTGTCACAATTTTCAGTCGCATATTTAATGTATCTGCGTTCAAACCGACGAACCCTTCTAAGTGTGTCAGCTCGTCAAAAGCTGTTTATTCGCACTTGTATTATATTTACACGAGACATGTACTTATTGTAAGTGTATGTCGCAGATACGTGGAAAATTGATCGCTACCACGAATGTGGTGGGGTAGGAAGAGAAAGGTAGTGTTATATGAAATATTAATTTGTTCTCCGCGACACGCGAGTGTGTAAAAAAAGGGCTTTCCAAGGGAAGGTCTCTATCTATAATCAAACGTGGTGGCGGAGAGAAATTCATTTCTCCATGAGAAAAGTATGGAACGTAACAAGACTTACTATTATGACATTAGTAGGAGATTTTTGTCGGTGGTCGGTCAGTGGCCTTACCAGAAGCCGAAGACGAGATTATTCTTCTTAACTTTTGTATTCATATTTTTGATTAATGCTCTTGTTACGCAGGTAAATTTTTTACAAAACAATTTTTTGGCCATTTAACATTGTTGCGAGATTTTGCGTCGTATTCGAACTATGGATTTTTTCTAGAAAGGGGAGCATGATTAAAAATTTTTGTTTTTGATATTTTGTTTTTTTTTCATTTTTTAAATTTAGATAATTTTTTTATTTTGTTATCTTTCATTTTTTTATATTAAATATGTAAATAAATTTCACTGTTCGTTTAAAAGGAGAGTATAAATTCTTATTTTTTACTGATTTCAAGAAGGGGTAGGGGTGGGGGTAAATGTCCTTTCTTGATAAATATATTTTTCAGATAGCAGAAATATTTGTATGCAAAAACATAGATTGCATTTTTGAAGTTTTGCCTTTCCATTTTTTGATGTTCAATATTGGAGTGAAAGTGCTCACATATCGATTCAAGAGTAAAAAAGTACGTTTATCACAATATTTATATATTATCCAGTGTTATGCTTAGATAATTGTACAATTAGATAAAGATGAGATGAAAATATGTAAATTTATCTTAGATAAAGATGGTTTTGTTTTAAATATATCTAGATAAAAGTTTTAAATATATTTAGATAAAAGATAAAATTATATATAAACAGATATAAACACAGATATAAAAAAAAATGTAAATTATAAATAAAAAAATATATTCATACTTTTATTTATAAATTTTTGTCGCCTCTACTATTCAGGTATTTTTATGTGCTATATGATTCTAAACCAAATTATCTGAACATTATTCTAAATAATTTAGTAAACATAACACTTTTTTATTCATCTAAAATGTAGCTATAAATAATACATATTTTTATTATCTATATAAAGATAAGATAATGTCAAAATTTCATCTAGATGATCATCTATATAATTTTATTTAGATGACAGCAAACATTGGCTGTATCTAATTTCAAATTTTATTTTGTCGCATCAAATTACAATTTTTTTATTTTGCTTATATGTTTTCATAATTATTGAAAATTTTATATTTAAATGTATCGATATAACATTTCTAGATTAAACTTCTCACTGATCACTTATTCGCAGACTGGGATTCTCTCGAAACTCGGGAAGAACGTGAAATTCTGAAAAAATATGCCGAGAGAGGCAGACGATATGCGTTGATATATTCCTGCAAGTACCTCTCCTATTTTTAATTAAGAAATATTTTAAAGGGATAATGCAGGAAATCATTTTTATCCAGCTTTAATTATATACCAGTTGATTTTATTTGCCAATTGCACTAGTTTATAAAAAAAATATTCTTTTTCATTATTTCAAACAAAACAAGATCGTTCTTGTAGATTTTTGGATGCTGAAAACGATGCCAATTTTCATCAGCATGTTAGGTTTCCGAGATAATTCAAGTTTAATATGCATAAAATATTTTTTTGCGATATTTGAAATTTTTTGTGAAAAAGGTTATCTGAAAATTCTGATCAGATGTCAAGAATATATTATTTATCCTCTATAAAATGTATTTTTTTATTTCGATATCTTATTTTTTATAGTCATGGTATAGGAAGGATTTAAATATAGAATTTTGCTGAAATAGCAAATATTCTGCCTATAATGATAAAGTCATATACTTACAATTTGTAGTTTAGGACTATAATGATATACATACACAGTGTAACTAATTATGATAGAGTCCACTAAATGGATATTTATAGGGTGTCTTATTTTAATTGTTTATCTTGAATTTTTCGAAATAACTGCATTTTTGAGAAAATGTTTCATATAAAAATTGTATGATTTAAAAGGGGACAAATAATGGTAAATTCAATTTTGAAAAAATTTTTTTTCAAAAAAACTTTTTTCTCAGGAGCATCTTTATATAAAAAGTAATTCCCAACTTTAATATTTTATAACATAATTAAAAAATAAGATATTTCAATTTAAAAAATAGGAGCTAAATAATTTTATAGGAGATAAACAATACACTCATAATATTTGATCAGACTTCGAAGAAAAAACGTTAACTTTTTTTACAAAAAATATCAAATCACTTTCTGAAAAAGATATGCAAAGTCGATTATAGCAAATATTATTGCTGCTTTTCCGCGATGCTGATTGGTTGTTTCGATTAACATTGTGTGTTACATTAATATAGCATCAAACAACTGCCATTGTGAAGGTTAATAATTTGACAGTTGTAAAATAAAAAATAACAATAATATTAATAGTGAGCAAAGTGCGTGCTTGTGTTGTCTGGTATATAACAAAAACTCAGAAATTAAAATTATATACATAATTAAAATTTGGCAAATTAAAATTATTATGTACATAATAGACATTTGACAATTAAAATAAAAATATAAAATATATAATAAAATATAAAATTAAAATATAACTTTAATATAATATACTGTAGCATCATTTATACCTTATTTTTTAATCAAAATTATTGAATTGTATTTCTCTTATTATAGTATTCTATTATCAATTTATCATATTAACAATAATTTGCTATCATTATTAAACTTGATAACAAAACTGAGGTTGATTTATGAGTCAATATTGTTTTTACTTGTAACTTCCTACTATATTAACAAATCTGCTTATAAATACTAAATATATGTAGTATATGTATAGCATTATTTCGTTTAATCTAACTGAATATAATTACGCACGCAAAGCGAACTTATATTATTCTTTGATAATAAGATCTCAAAAATTGCAACGTATTATGTAAAAATTATTATTGCAAAATAAAAATTATCAATGCATAAAAAATATATTAATTAATTATACAACGCATAAAAATTCAATATTTAAATCTTTAATAGAAAATACAAACAAAGATATAAAATTTTTACAAGAATCTTTCCTGATCAAATATCTACGCTTTTCTTAAACTTGCGCGAGACTATACCCCATACGTCCATTACACTGCGCGGCTCGCGCAAGACTGATTCTCGTTCGAGGTATCGCGACCGCAAGACCGAGATCACGTGATCAGTGGATCGACTGGTCATGTGACTATCGGTCCCGCGCGCTCGCGATATCCCGCACGAGAATCAGTCTCGTGCGAGCCGCGCACTGTAACAGATGTGTGGGATGTACTAATCTGAACGTGATCAGTTTTGCGCGAGTTGTGCAGCGTAGCGGACGCGTACAGACGCGCGAATCTAATGGAAGCACAGATATTTTGATCAAAAAATTCTTGTAGAAAATTATTTATTTTTTTTTGTTAAAAATTTATATATTGAATTATTTTTATAAATCACGTAATTAATAATATATTTCTATGCATGCACTGCAATAATAATTTTACACATGCGTTGCAATAATTTTTAACTTTTTATTATCAAAGAATAATATAACTTTACTTTGCGTATGTAATTATATTTGATTAAATTAAACTAAATGAGAAAAAAAAGTATAAAGAGATATATCTATACAAAATAGTTCTCAAACAATACAATAGAAATTCAGCGAATTAAAATTATGGTTATAGTATCAAGCAACTGTCATTGCGAAAATTAAGAATTTGACAATTGTAAAATAAACAATAGAAATAATATCAAAGGAGTAATCGAAGCGCGCGCTTGTGTTGTCTAGTATTGCAAAAAATCCATTTTTTACACATTAAACCTCAATTTTGAAAATCTGATGTACTAGTAAAATTTAATTTTCAGCACCCAAAAATCTATAAGAAACAAGTTTGTCTGGATTAAAATAATTTTTGATTGTAAACTAGTATTAAATTAGATCGATTTTAAGATATATGGGATTGATTTTTTAAAATTGACTCTAATTTTTGAGATATTGAGTGAAAAATATAAAAATATAAAATATGTAATGATTAAATGTAACCTATTCCCAAATCATATAGAAATTGTCTCAAATTAAACAAAAATATATATATCTAATGGTGTTATATTAAATAAAAGAAAACATAAAAAAGGAAACTAATTCAGATAATTACAATAATTAATGCACAAAAAATGCTGTTTGTACAATTTTCTTTTATGTGGGTCATCAGAATTAAATCCAAATCCTGTTTATATGTCAGCAGCTATAAGTCGTATTTGGGGTAAATTCGTAATTTTTTTTTTTGAGTAATCCTTTATCTCAAAAACTAGAACCAATTCAACAAAACTGTTGTTGTTTTTAGATTCAGTCTTTCTAAAATATCTTAAATTCGTTCAAATATCCTTGGCAACTAAATAAAATAAATTAAGAGTTTAACAAGGCTCTGTAATATAAATATAAATTTAAAGTGTAAAACAGGCAATAAGAACCAAATCGCGGATGACCGTTAGAAAATACGCGGATGACAGTGACGTTATCCTAACGAAACTAAAATTTTTTCGTTAGAATTAAATACCTGTGCACAAGGCGCCAAATTTTACTGTTGATCAGTGTTACGATTATAAAATATTTTTAGTGTTAGAATATAAAAAAATTTATATAAATATAATAGACGTCAGTTTTTTTACGAAATTGACTTTTGTTGTAGTATACCTGTATCTAAGTAGTATTATATTTATATTAACTGCTCTCGGGCCACGTGTATTGGACGTACTGTTTCCCCTAAATGCTTCACGTCCTGTAACGTTAGTATATCCAGCGTACTATTTCGTTGACGAAGAAAAATATTTTTACTACATTTTTTGCAATATGATGATGATCATGCTAATATGTCTGGCTGGATTAATCGCGCACGATTCTATGTTTTTTACTTACATCGAACACGTTTGCGGCCTTTTCGCAGTCATCGGGTAATGATATTTTATATTTAGAAAATAATTAAATTTATTTAATTATTATATTTAATTTTCCGATCTTCTATTTTTACTTAAAAATTAAAAATAGTAAATTCTACAAATTTTATGACATATTTTGCCTGAATATTTGCAGATTTAGATTCGAACGTATCATATATAAACGTGATATCACGAAGAAGAGCTTGATTGATTGTCCAAATAACGTATATCACAAACAAATTGTATTTTCAATTCATGCTCATCGGCAAGCTCTGCAGTGAGTTTGTATGACGATATCGCAATGAATTTTTTTATTAATTTTACAATAAATTTTTTATTAATTTTTTATCAATTTTTTATTAATTTAAAAATAATTTTAATAAAGTCACTTAATAAACAATTCTCAATTATAATGATTGGATTATAATAAATTTATAAACATGATTTATCTGTCTTATTCTTACTACAGGTTTGCAAAACTCATTGAAAATGTCTTTTCGATATCATTTGCTATACAACTTATAGTAGATACAATTACTATAAGTATTACTTTAGTTCAAGTAAGTAAGTTTTTAATAATTAAAACGATATATGAGAGCTCCGAGAAAATATAAAGCACTTTTAAAATGAATAATTTTACTTAAGCTCTCGATGCAGTTGCATAATTTAACGGAAGCGACGAGATGCATGCTCTATATTTTTGCTCAATTATTCCACTTGTTTTGCTTCAGTTTCCAAGGACAAAAATTGATAAACCATAGTCTAGAAACTCGAGACAAGATGTAAGCTAATATCAACGTTGAAATAGATAAATTTTGATCTATGTAGAAAATTTGTTTTTGACACAAAAATATTTTTGTGTGAATTTAATCATTTTTTTTATCACTGCTTTATTTATTATATATTTATATATTTATTATATACTCATTTCGTGTGTGTTTGTATATTAATTTAATTATATTTATATATTATATTTATATATTTATATATATTTATATTTATTTATTAATTATACTTTAATAATTATATTTATTTATATTAATTTATTATAACTATATTTACATATTACATTTATTTATATATTTATTTATTAATTATTAATTATAATTAGTAATTATATTTATTAATATAATTATAGTTATAATGGTGCGTGGTACGAATTGCCAGTGAAAGAGCAAAAACTGCTCTTGATCGTGATGAGAAAAAGCATCGAAGCTAGTAGTGTGACTGCCTGCAAGATATATATATTTTCTTTGCAAAATTTCACAACGGTAAAAAACTATTGTGTAATAAAGACAGACGCATAAGTACTGTACGTATATGATATATTATATAATTGCAAAAAAATTTTTTCCTGTCTTATAATCCAGGTCTTGCAAAGCGCGATGTCGTATTTTATGATGCTAGCATCCTTCAGTGCATAACTGGCCGGTGATTCTAGCATTTATAGTAAAATAATGTTGAAAACTCTACAGGATGATATAGTATTATTACAAATTATATCAAAAATATTCATACATATATATATACATATATATATATATTTATATTTTATATCATTTAATAAGAGCAATAAAATTATATTTTATTATTGATATTTTTAATATTCTCTCGATACATACTACTATAGTTTTCATTTTTAGATTGCCCCTATGATATTATTTATTATTATGTATTTATTACCATTATTAGATGATTAGATGAGCTTATAAGTGTTTCGACACTAACGTGAATGTATTTCAAGAAAAAGAGATACTTCATAGCAATGTATAATATGTTTAATTGCTTTTCGTTGTTCTTAGAGATAAAAATGGGCGAAGGAATAATTAATAAAAAATATGGTAATATTTATACGATAAGATAAGTATATATTGTTTTTATCGAAAATTTTATTGTAGATGAAAAAGAAAGTAATAGTGAAAAAAATTGCAGTAGAGTTTAATAATAATTATTTTTGATATGAAATCACGTATCGATCGTAATATATAAGATAAATAAAAAAGTAGATATATAATTGATATCATATATAGTTTTTTTTTTAAATCACTAATATTTATAGTTAATATTTTAATCAATATTTTAGCGTAATCAATAATTGATCAAATAAACATATATTTTTGAGGCAGTATTTACATCCAATGATGTGCTCAGATGATTTCAAAATTAGCTAGATAAAGATGAGATAAAAATATGTAAATTTATCTTACAATTAAATAAAATGAAAATAATTTTGTTTTAAATTTTTCTAGATAAAAGATTATAGAAAATTATACGACGATTTATCTAGATAATTTCCAGATAATATTAGTTTTAGACCGCTTATGTAAACACAGTTATAAAAAATGTAAATTATAAAAGGGATATAAAAATATATATTTATATTTTTATTCATAAGTTTTTATTACTTAATGCTTAAGTATTTTTAATGGCTTAAAACTAAATTATCTGAACATTATTTTACATAAAATTCTAGATAAAAATATGTAAATTTATCTTACAATTAGATAAGATAAAGATAATTTTGTTTTAAATTTTTCTAGATAAAAGATAAAATTATATGACAATTTATCTAGATAATTTCCAGATAATATTAGTTTTAGACTGCTTATGTAAACACAGTTATAAAAAATGTAAATTATAAAAGGGATATAAAAATATATATTTATATTTTTATTCATAAGTTTTTATTACTTAATGCTTAAGTATTTTTAATAGCCTAAAACTAAATTATCTGAACATTATTCTACATAATTTAATAAAGATAACACTTTTTTTTAAATCTAAGATACAGATATAGATAATACATATTTTTATTATCTATATAAAGATAAGATGATGTCAAAAAACTTTATCTAGATGATTATCTATATAATTTTATTTAGATGCCACTATTTAGATCTCACTTTGATTCGGTTTCTTGGAATTAATTTACATTTATATATTGCACATAGTCCGTCTATGGATTCGATTTTACAACTATTTGTTACATCTTCTAACACATCGTTCGGAATATTTTCAATACGTTTATATTTAAATCGAGAAATGTTTTACAAGGGGTCAGCCTGTCACCATCAATGAAACGTTGTCAATTCGGGTTTACATTATACTTACACGAGACACGTATTGATTATCTATAGGGCGAAAACCCACACAATTGCTACGTCGAATATTCCTGGAAAGGGAAGGGGAAAAAAAGAGGTAGAAATGACATTATTTAAATATTAACTTATTTTCTACCGCGAAAAAAATCGCGAGAGGGTAAGTCTCGCTCGGATATTCAAACAATATTCGTGCGTCGAAGAGAAAACTATTTTTCTCTGTCTGTCTCAAAGTATGGAACTTAATATGGATTACTATTACGATACCAATAGGAAATTGTTGTCGTTTCTCGGTCAGTGGCCGTATCAGAAGCCGAAGGAGAAAAGGTTCTTCTTTATTTTAATACTCACGGTATTAGCTAACGTGATGGTTCCACAGGTAAATTATAATTAATCATAATTAATTAAAAATTAATTATAAATTAATTATGATTAATTATAATTAATTTATAATTAATTTTTAATTAATTATAAATAATTAAAATATTTTGATCGTAACTGAATAGATTTAACAAATTTTTAAGATAATGTATTCTCTCCATTTTTTCACTTTTTTTCGCACGAATATTTCATTTTTCAGATAGCACAGTTTTTCAAATGCGAAGACTCGCAGTGTATTTATCAAACTTTACCTCCATACATGTTAGCAATAATGGTATTGGTGAAAATATTTACATTTTATTTTAACAGACAACAGGTAGAATATGAATTTTATAATATATATATAGATATACATATATTTATTGTCTTTAAATTTAACAAAAGTTATTGTATATGAACAAAATTTTCCTGCAAAATTTCAGCTTAAAATATTGTTATGGCGATTGACGATACTGTATCCGAGATTTTTTAAATATATCGGTAATACTTGCAGATTAAAGTCCTTACAGATCATTTATTCATAGACTGGGATATGTTCGTGAATGAAGATGAACGTGAGATTATGAAGAGATATGCTGAGACTGGCAGGTGGTTGACATTAATATACGCTTGTAAGTCATATTTTTTTAAATATATTTGATATAATATTGATATATTTAAAAAAAATTTTTTTTATTTTAAATAGTTAAAACATAAATTTTATAGTCAAAAATATTACAGAATCAAAGTTGAGGATTTTATAGAAAAAAATTTGTTTATGTCTTCTTAAATCTGCATATATCAAATAATATATTAAATATTACCCCCTTAAAAATGCAATGTATGCACCTATTATATTTTTAAATTCACGTCTTAAACTAAAATTTGCATAATTTCATTTAAAAATTTATATTTTTTTATTTTTTTATATATTATAAATATATATTAGAAAACTTAGTCAAATTAAATTCTTAAACTATTTCAGTTTAATGTTATCTATTTTTCGAATTATATTTTTCTGCTATTTCCTGTTTTGTATAATTCTTGTTGAAGTATATTCCTTTGATAACTTTTATTTTTCAGCATTTTCGATATTGCTAATAGTACAAATATTCTATTAATAAAATATTTAATACATTTTAACTTATTTCAATATATATACATATATATATATATTTAATATAATTATTTTAATATATTTAATATAATTATAATTTATTATATTTAATATATTTTATTAATACATTTTAATTAATAGCCAAGTACAAACAAATCATATATTATCTTACATTTAGCTTAAATTTGATGTTGCATAAACAAAATATTTATTTTCTATTTTACCGCAAGTCGAAATCTTTAAAGATAAATTAATTTTATTATAAAAAAAATTGAAATTATCAATTTTATTTTATTTAACTGTTAATCCTGAAAAAATAAACACATGCGTGTGTGATAATAAAGTATGAAGTAATTTAGTAAGAAAATTAAAGAAAAAAATATTATAAATAGAAATGTGTAAGAAATTCGTGATATATCCGCTTTTGATGCATTTTGTTCTTGTTATAGCCTATGTATATATAAGTACAATGTTTTTCGCAACAACCGCTTTCGTGCCACGTATCTTGGACGTTCTGTTTCCTTTGAACACTTCCCGTTCGGCAATGTTACCATATCCGGCGCATTACTTCGTTAACGAAGAGCAATATTTCTACTATATTTTTTGCCATATGATATTTTCTGCCGCATTAGGTATGACTGGATTAATCGCTCATGATTGCATGCTCTTTGTTTACATAGAACACGTTTGCGGCCTTTTCGCCGTGATTGGGTAATGTTTTTTACCAAACATTTATATTGCAATAAAATTAATTTTGTAATAATTAAGAAAATACTTTACCGAGAAAAAGAATAAAAAAAGACGTAACAACAATTTTGAAGCTATATTATTAGCTCGAAAGACAGACGAAATTAATTTAAAAAAAATTAGAAATATATAAGTCACACGAATATTTGCAGATTTCGATTTGAACATATATTATATAAGCAGGATAATCCAAAAAATATGATAATTAAACATTCGGTTGATGTGTATAGCCAACATATTATGTTTTCGATTTCCGCTCATCGAAGAGTCTTGCAGTAAGTGTATAATAAAATTATGACTTTCTTTATTAGTCTTAAGAACAAATAATTAACAATGTTTAATATTTGCGATAGATTAATTTTTACATTATTTTCAAAAATTTAAATAATAATATTAGTTTACAAAAAAATTTGTTTTTCTTATTTTAAACCAAAGTGTATTTCTTATAGATTTTTGGATGCTTTTAAGATTTTTTGTAAAAAAGATTAACGTTATTTGGAAAATCTGATCAAATATCATAGATATTCCCTATAAAATGTATTTTTTGTAAAATTCACAAAATATCAAATATCACAAAAAAGCCATTTTTTACTTATTAAAATTTTGGAAATTTGACGTCTTAATGAAATTTGGTCTGCAGCATCGTTTTCAAAAATCTATAGAAACACTTTGTCTGATTTAAAATAATTTTTTGCTGTAAACTAGTGTAACATTTAGCTGTCATTATTTAATATTTTTTATTACAGGTTCGCAGTACTGCTTGAAAGTACCTTTACAATATCGTTCGCTGTACAAGTCTTCATAGTTACAGTCGGCATGAGTATTAGTTTAGTACAAGTGAGTTATTTATAGTTTTTTCATATTATAAATATGAGATTGGAATATATGATACAGATTTAAATGATGATTGTTTACTCTATCCATATATAGTTCTCGATGCATTTGCACGATTTAACGGAAGCAATGAGATACTTGGTTTTCATTATTGCTCAAATGTTCCACTTATTTTGCTTTAGCTTCCAAGGGCAAAAATTGATAAATCATAGTCTCGAAACTTGCGACAAAATGTAAGATAATATCAAAATAGAAATAAATTAAAGTAAATAAGCTCTATATTTAGGTACTTTTATGATTGGAGAAATATACATTTATTTTTTCATATTAAAATATTTATATTTATATTTTATATTTATATTAAAATTATATAATTATATTTTATATTAAAATATTTTTATATTTATTAACATTTTTATTAATATTTATTCAAATTTTTATTTATATTTATATAAATTTATATAAATTTAATAACACTTCTCTATAGTATACTGAAATGATTAATTTTATTACTATAAATTGTTATGTTTATTTCATTGTGTAAGCAACAATATCAGTTTTATAGATATAATAGCTCATGGTACAAAATACCGGTGAATGCGCAAAGGTTGCTCTTGATTGTGATGAGAAGAAGCATCATAGTTAGTACTTTGACTGCTGGCAAGATATACGTATTCTCCTTAGAAAGTTTTACGACGGTAAAGCAATCATCATCACTGTTGTGCTTAATTGATTTCAAAATTAGCTAGATAAAGATGAGCTAAAAATATGTAAATTCATCTCTTAGATAAAATAAAGATGATTTTGTTTCAAATATATCTAGATAAAAGATAAAATTATATAACGATTCATCTAGATAACTTCCAGATAATATTATTTTTAAAACCGCTTATATAAACACAGTAAATTATAAAAGTGATATACGTAAAAATTTATTTATCTTTCATATTTAAAAAATATTTTATATTTTATTTTTGAATATTTTATATTTAAAAAATATATTTATATTTATATTGTATTTAAAAATATATTTTATTTATAACTTTTTATCGTTTTACTGCTTAGTTTTATGTGACCTTATCAAATTATCTAAACATTATTCTAAATAATTGAGTAAAGATAACACTTTTTGCAGAAATAGATAATATAAATTTTTATTACTTATATAAAATATAAGATGATGCCAAAATTTTATCTAGATGATCATTTATAATTTTATTTAGATAACAATAACACATTGAATGTTACGATATCATAGGAAAAAATATGTAACAATTTTTAATTTATTTTTATTTAGATCTTGCAAACTTCAATGTCATACTTCACGGTTCTGTCGTCCGTCAACGAATAAATCGACAGTCGGCGATTTATATAGTAACATGAATAATATAAATCTTTTCATCTCTGGTTTCCCAGAGCTTGAAATTAATTTACATACACGTTGCAACATACACAGTTGTTTGACGACACGAATTGTAAGATTTGTGCAGATGATTTTATTCTACATCTAAAATAATTATAGACACTATAATTAGGCATAATTTTTTAGATAATTTTTTAGACAATTATACATAATTATATATAATAATTATACTTGTTATGCAAATAATGAAATATGATCCATTTTAGACGATTATTAACAGAGATATATATTTATAATTTTATATGCCACATATGTCTTACTGTACATGTATATCTTGATATTTATTTTGTATGTGTATAGATATTTCAATTTTTCAAGTATGTTTTTTCGCTATTATGCAATATACAAATATTTTGTCTCAAACTTTATTAAGAATTATATAAATCATCTAATATACTAATTAAATAAATATCAGTTATATTTTATATATTTTTTTTTATTTTAATACGCCTAAGTTGCTAGAAATTAATTAAATTGACGAATTAGGATGCTGTCCCATGGCAGTCGGAGTTTTGGAAAACGTATAATTTCGGAAAAGTATTACTAGAATAAGCCTCGCTCCCCATGGAGTGATTTTTACGGAAAACGGAATGCTATTCTAGCCTCAAATTGTTTTTCAATTTAGAAAATTTCTTTATTATCTTCTGTTATAATAAACAATACATACAAATTTAATTTTTTTATATATGTATTGTTCTATTGTATTATTTTTTTGTCGGAAAACTACCAAAATAAATTTTTCTATTTTTATTAATTTCCGACATGCTCCGAAATATTAGTCAATGGGGAGTTCAGCCACAAAAAATCGGACCGACAAACACACAACTTTTATTCTTGACAATATGTCTTGACAATTTTATTCTTGATAACTATTTTATGTGATAAGATATTTCGATTGAATATTTATATATGTATATTAATAAATACTCACCGAACAATTATTTTATTAACAATAAAATTCTTCCTATAGAGACAAAAATTCAACCCCGATTAATTTTCACAAATTTCTCCAAATAATTCTGATCCTATTCTAGTACTTTTCCGAGATTCCGTTTTCCGAAATTCCGACTGCCATGTGACAACACCCTTTACGAATTACTTTTATTGTAGAAGTCAACGTATTGTGCACCAAATATTAGAAAAAGTCAGAATATCGCGCGATTGAAAGTGATATAGCTGCATGCATGTCGAAGTTATTCGCAGAACTTAACTGCACTTTCGTAGAAAAGAAAAAGTATCACTTGATCATTCGATTCAATTACTGCTATTCGTTGCATCTTCTATGACGCATCTCTTGTTCGATATACTCGTATTCAAATTGAGACACGTTTCTCAAGGGGTCAGTTTGTCACACTCAATATGACGTTGTCAGTTCAGATCTACGTTATACTTATCCGTCGAGACTAGTGTCCCTACTCGAGACAGGTAACTATATCTGTCAGTCACGGAAACCCGCGTCCAATTGCTATGGCAGACGTTCCGGGAAAAAGATAGAGAAAAGTATAGGCAGCATGTTTCAAATATTAATGTATCCTTTTGCTGCGAAGAAATTTTCGAGGGTTAGGTTTCCTCGGACCTTCAAACGAGATTTGTCCGTCGAAGAGAAACCATTTCGGAAAATATGGTATCTTCTACTATAGATTATTATGAGATTAATAAAAACTTGTTGAGGTTTGTCGGTCAGTGGCCGTATCAGAAACCGAGGGAGAGACGATTTATCTTTATCTTCACGATGATACTTGTAATAAACGCAATGGTGCCACAAGTAATTATTATTAAAAATCTTTTTGACACTTTTTATATTTTACTTATATAGATTGTTTTTTTTAGAACTCGTGTTTATTAAGACTTTTTTTACTTATTTTGAAGCATAAGTACTAAATCCCATTAAAATATTTTACTTTTTTTTCCAACATCTTTTCCCAGGTAACAAGCTAACGTTAAAATAACGTCATTGACATCAAAAAGTAATTTTGTCATTTATGACGTCAGCTTGTTACCTGGATTGTATGTTTGATATATCATGCAACTATAAAAAAATATAAGATTTATAAAATTTTTAGAGTAATGGATTTTCCTAACTTTTATTCTTTTTCGCGCGAATAACTTTATTTACTTTTCAGGTGGCACAATTTTTCGTATGCGAAAATATGGAGTGTGTCTATGAAACTATACCTCCACACATGTTGGCAATAATGTTATTGATAAAATATTTCACTTTGCATTTGAATAAAAACCAGGTAGAGTACGAATTGCAAAAACACATATGCGTATCTAAAATTATTAAAACATTTTCTTCATCTTATTTAATCCTGCATATGGACACATTAAAAAATCGGTAAAATGTTTTAATAGTTATTTGTGTAACAAGTGCGGGTTGACAATTGTACACTCACCTTCGACTCGTGTGCCCACTCCGCACTCGTGTCTAATTGTCAACTTCCCGCACTTGTTACACACAATATTTTATATTACAAATGGTGCGTCTAAAGAAAGACTTGCGGGGTGATATGATTGAGGAATAAGGAGAGTGTCGGAAATGAGCTGTGTGGGAATGAATGATACTGTGCGGGAATGAGATATACCGCACTGTTTTGAGTGGAAAATTTCTCGTGTGTGGAAATAGTTATTTTTTGCACAGAAAATACGCGCGTAATGGGCGACTTTCCATGCACGTGTAATATAATAGTATATTAACTAACAAGTGTGGGAAATCGTAAATCGGCCGATTTGCGATCCGTACACACGATATTTTGTGTGACCGGTGCGTGGAAAAAGAGCCTTTCCTAAAATCCCATCATGTGCGGAAAGGGTAACTTTCCGCGCACCTGTTGCACAAAATTATTTTTTTATTCACAAATTTGACAAAGCAATGGAAGTTTGATAAAACGTATTACTTTTATTTTTTCCTATATTGTACTGGATTTACTAAATGTATTTTTTATTTAGGTATTAGTTTCTTTTCTTTATATTTGATGGACGACTGAAGAAAATATTATCAAATTTTACAATTACATTTCAGATAATACTTATTTATATTTTTGTGTGGCGAAAAGTATTTTTGATTTATATATGCTATTCTTATAAATATATTTTGTTGCAGCAAATCGGTATTGTAAGCAAATACCACTTTTTTTAACTTTTTAATTTACAAATAATATATTATTGACAATAAAGAACCATAGTTTCAAATAAATAAAAAAATTTTATCGTTTCTTTGATAGATTTATTGCAATTTTAATATTTACTTTACGATTCTATCATACTTTTGCATATATATATATATATGTGTGTGTGTGTGTGTGTGTGTGTGTGTGTGTGTGTGTGTGTGTGTGTGAGTGTGTGTGTGTGTATATCGATAATATTTACAGGTTAAGGACCTTACGGATCGTTTGTTTATAAACTGGAATATAATCGATAATGAAGAAGAACGCAAAATTATGGAAAAATATGCTAAAACTGGCAAATGGTACTCGAAAATGTATGCTTGTAAGTAATCTCTTTCTTTATTTGAGATAAAATATATTTTTTATATAATTGAATATTGCCGCATCTGGATTAAAACTATTATGTACGAGGATCTCTCGGTATATGAACACAGTTTGCTTGTCTGATTATTTTTCGAAATTTAAATATTAAATAATGATTATAATTCATTAATTGCTGATGTATTTGTCGTATTTTCAATTATTCGCCCCTTGCGACCTAAATTTGTATTAGTAGTTTTGAAAACTTATTTTTTTAATGTTAGAAAAACTTGTTCAAGTTTGTTTTTTAAATTATTTAAATTATTTTTAATCTAATTTTTAGTAAATCTGTTTCAAATTATATTTTTTTGCATATAGATTTGAAATATATTACTTCTATGACAATATTTATAGATTTTCAGCATTATACAATTTTCAGCTAATAGCATAAATATGCTTTTAGTGTATTTTAATTGGTGGTCAATATAAATTAATTATATTATCTAGCTTAAATTTATAATATTATATAAAAGAAATATTTAATTTTTGCTGAAGATTATGTCTTTGCAAATTAAAACTTTATTTTGTTACGAAATAATTTTATTTGCCAGCTATTTTGTGTTTGACTATTGTACAATATAATAATAAAGAGATTTAGACATTTGTAATGTGACAAAATACTTTAATGTAGCGGTATTTTTTAACAAGTAATATTATATAAAAAGGATATAAAAAAAATGTTTTTTAGTTTCGTTTTTGATGAATTTCGTATTTTTGTTGTTGTTGTAGCTTATGTTTATATAGGTATCGTCCTATTTTCATTTACCGGTTTCATGCCACGCGTGTTGGACTTCATAATTCCTTTGAATACTTCTCGTCCACTGATGCTACCATATCCGGCGTATTACTTTGTTAACGAGGAGAAATATTTCTATTATATTTTTTGCCATATGTTATTTAGTGCGGAAATAGGTCTGAGTGGAATAGCTGCGCACGACTGCTTGCTCTTTGTTTACATCGAACACGCTTGTAGCCTTTTCGCCGTGAATGGGTAATGTTTCTCTGTGATTAATTATATTGGAATTAATCTAATTTTGAATTGAAAACATTAACAAAATTCTCCACTTAACGCGACGGGAAAGAGTAAATTAAAGTCACTAGATTTATAAAGTTGGTACCGCAATTATAACGAAATTCCGTCATTTTGGCTCCACGCTATTCGTCAATTTCAGAGTTGGGTAATAACTATAATTAATTAGTTAAAAGATAAAAAAAGTTAAAAGTTAATAACTTTTAACTTAGCTTAGTTAATTACAAATGTATTAATTTTTAACTTCAACTAATTATTTTTGACCTTAAATTTATTAACTTTTTTTCTAAGTTAAATTTTTTTTTATCTCTGAACCATTATTATTTTTTTATAAATTATATGAACGTATTATTTTAAAATTAAAATATTATTAATTTTTATGTTTATTTGTCATTAATTGTAATTACAAAAAAATATATTTTTATATAAAAATCAAAATTTCTTTGTTATTTGTTATTATAAATTTTAAAAGAATTAGCAGATAAAATTCTGATTTAATATAAATAAAATTTTTACTTAACTTAGTTTAAAAAAATCATTAACTTATCCAACCTTGGTCAATTTTAAACTTATTATACTTGTTTGAATATCTTTTATATAATATAATGTTTATAAATGAAGAAAAATAAATTCGTAAATCACATAAATTGCATAAATAGCTTACACAAAGTGTGCATTATTTAAATCATCCGATGCTATTTGGATCCAATAAGATAATGGTTTATTGCGGTACTTTATAAATCTAGTGATTTTAGAGTAAATAACGTAATAACTAAAAAAAAAAAAAAAAAGCAACACTTTTCCCATCCTTAAAATTATTTTCAGTCCGATAGAAAAATTTTTCTTGAAAAATTCTATTCAAGTTTTATAAACTACAACATGCCTTTAAGGAGATCCTAAACGGTTGGCCGAACTCCGATGGATGCTTTGAGAAGTCTGTTATTTTTTTCTTTTTTTATCGACAAAATATGAAGTTAGATAAACTATAAATCTAATTTATTGACTATATGGATTGTTTTTTACTTGAAATTAGAACGCTTCCTCCTTTGTTAATATTATACTTTAATTTGTACAGAGGGGAAAAGATTTATCAAACTGTATAGTCTTATATATATCTTGGTTATAGAATTATGAATGCTTAGAAAATTCTATCTTTATATATTTTTTTCTTATTTCATTTAGGTTAATCGAATATAATTACGTGCGCGAAGCAAAGTTATATTATTCTTTAATAATAAAACCTTAAAAATTGCAACTCATGTATAAAATTATTATTGCAATGCATGCATACATAAAAAATATATTTATTAATTATATGATTCATAAAAATTCAATATATAAATTTTTAACAGAAAACAAAAAAATAGAATTTTTTACAAGAATATTTCGAACAATATCTGTGGTTCCATTAAATTTGCGCGCCTGTACGCGTCCACTACTCGTACCCTGCACGGCTCGCGTGAGACTGGTCACGTGACCATCAGTCTCGCAATTGCAATGTCTCGAACGAGAATCAGTCTCGCGCGAGACGCGTAGCGTGACGGACGTGTGGGGTGTACTAATCTTTTAGAAAGGGAAAGAATGAAAAGATAAAAAACCACCGATTCCGTGTTAAATTTGAAACTTCAAGCTTCAACAAAATAAGTGTTCCCTTTTTTCTTTTTTTTTAATAGTGTATATGTTCGCGTGAAAGACAGACTATTTAATTTTAAACAATTTAGAAATATATAAGTTACGTGTGAATATTTTGCAGATTTAGATTTGAACATATGTTGTATAAACGTAATATTGAAAAAACGATAATAATTAATCATGCAGATGAAGTGTATTGTAAAAACGTTGTGTTTGCAATTCACGCGCATCGAGAAGCCTTAGAGTAAGTATGTATGTATGTAATTCTATTACGATATATATTTTTTATTTAATGTTAGTTTTCAAGATAAATAATGAACGATTTTTGATATTTACAATATTTAATCGTCATTATTTTGTCGCTTTTTTTAATTATATATAGATTTGCACTATTGCTTGAAAATACTTTTACGTTATCGTTCGGTATACAAATTCTGATGGTTACAGTCGGCATGAGCATTAGTTTAGTACAAGTAAGTAATTTACAGTTTAAAAAATAATAATTTAATAATAATAATAATAATAATAATTTAATGTATATTTCATAAATAAAATATACATATATAAAAATTTTGAAAAATATCACATGATTTATAATATGATGTGTTTATATTCAAGTTCTCAATACAGTTACCCAACAATTTAGCAGGAGCAATGAGATATTTGCTGTTCATTGGCGGTCAATTGTTTCACTTATTCTGTTACAGCTTTGAAGGACAAAAATTGATAAATCATAGTTCCGAAACTTGTGACAAGATGTAAGATGATATTAAATCTCAAGTAATTTAGTGATTACTCACGTAGCAAACTGACGTCAATATATAATGAACGATTTTTGATATTTACAATATTTAATCGTCATTATTTTGTCGCTTTTTCTTATTATATATAGATTTGCACTATTGCTTGAAAATACTTTTACGTTATCGTTCGGTATACAAATTCTGATGGTTACAGTCGGCATGAGCATATACTCTTACTATACCTAGGTTGCATACTTTGATTGATATAAAAATTTCTTTTGTTTGTTTAATAATAATTACAAAATTAAATTATTATTGTATATTTTTTCTCGTAATATTGACGCGAATTCAATCATTTCTTGTGATTATTTAATTATATACAGTTATATTTATTTTTTGTTTATTTCGTGTGTAATTGTTAAATTTGTAGATATAATGGCTCATGGTATAAAATACCCCCGAGTGCGCAAAGATTACTCCTGATGGTGATGAGAAAAAGCATCGAAGTTACTACTTTGACTGCCGGCAAGATATACGTGTTCTCTTTAGAAAGTTTCACGACGGTAAAACGATTCTCGTGACACAGACGCTACGATATCAGAGGCAAGGGAGTATGTAAAAATTTTTAACATATCCTTATTTAGGTCTTGCAAACCTCGATGTCGTACTTTACGGTTCTATCGTCCTTCAGCGAATAAATCGACAGATCGATGATTATATAGCAACATGATTAACATGAAAGATATCTAATTTTCATGATCTGGTTCCCGCAGATCTTGAAATTAATTTACATACATATTAAAATATACAGTTTGCTCAGGGATTGTAAAACTTGTGCAGATGACTTTATTTCTATTTGATAGTGCATCCGCCACGATGTTCTCCTCGCCTGTCATGTGCCGAATGTCGGTGGAAAATTGCCCGATAAAATCCAAGTGGCGGAACTGGTGCGGCGTGCTCCTCTCAGGTCTCTGTCGGAAGGCGTAAATCAGCGGCTTGTGATCCGTGTATATCGCGAACGCGCGCGCCTCCAGCATATGTCGGAAGTGCTTGACCGCCAGGTAGATAGCCAACAGTTCCCTGTCGAACGCGCTGTATTTTACTTCGGCTGGGCTTAGCTTCTTCGAGAAGAAGGCTCCCAGCCGTCGCTGCCTCGCTGTAGTAAAGTCGCGCCGACGCTCTGCTCCGACGCGTCACCTTTGTGTTCGCGTCGGTCACAAATAAGCGGCGCGCACTGTGTCCCGAGTCGCTCGCCGCCTCTAACGACCGCGTTTCCCTGCTGTTGATAAAGCAGGGTTCTCTGCACTGTCGGGCTTCCGCTCCGAATTGCCAGTGGTACCAGCACACTCCGCTGGCCGGCGGACCACGGCTGCTGGATCGCGGGCGCGAATGACGTCGATCGTCACGATCTTCTTCTGATATCGACCGTCACCGATCGCTTCGATCGACTTTCGGATGGCCGTCAGCTGCTCCGCCATCTCTTGCTGCATTGCCAGCCGCATCTGTGCCAGTCGCATCTCCAACCTGGCTTCCAAGGCCCCGGATCGCTCGCGCATTGCGTCTGAGGTCTTACGAATTTCGACGCTTCGGTTACTTGGAATGCTGGTGCCCGGGTCGCCTCGACAATCGCATCCGCGATATCCTCCAGCTACTCGAGCGTATCCGCCGTGCGCGTCACCAAATGCGGCTGAATGTAAGCCGGCAATCGGTTTAGCCAGATCGTCCGCAAGACGGGATCGTCAACCACGTTTCCGGCGAGGCCGCGGAGGTGTCGTAAAAATTGCGACAGCTTGCGATCTCCGATTTCCTCGTGTTCAAGGAGCCTCCGGGTCTTATGCTCCTGCGACAGGCTCAGACGCTTGACTAATTCAGTCTTCAGCGTCTCATACGCGTGCTCCGCAGGCGGATTCATAATAATATCACGCACCTCGGCAGTATAATTCGGCCCGATAGCTGTCAACGCGTATCCAAACTTGGTGGAATCGACTGTGATTCCGGCGGCCTGAAAACTCCTGTCGACGATGTTGAACCAGAGTTCCGGATCCGACAGCGTAAATTCCGGCATTCGCATGCCAACACGGCTTATCTCGAGGGCGGTCAAAAAATACCCCGGCGGCTGCTTCAACCTGGCCGCCTGCTGCACTTGCACTCGCGGCTGCTCGAGCGCCCGCGCCTCTGGCTCCACGCGCGAACCGACCGTTCCGTCGTCCCGCGTGACAACCATGCCGAATCGTTTTTCACTACACAGCTGGTCACTCTCACTCCCGGGTCCGATCGGATATATCGTTTCACAAGTCAAAAAAAAAAAATGCTCTCACGCGCGAACACGAAATCGCGAATTCCCGCTCGCTCGCGATCACGTCGGGGTCACCACTTTAACTGCCACGGAGGAATTATTAATCAGACGATGCGAATCAGGAATTGAAATAAAGAGAAGCGTTAATTATGTATAAATATGCGGTAACGAAAAGGCTTTACAAGAGTCTGTACATGATTTCGGAGATAGATGCGAAATATAAATCGTTCGTATTTATAATGTACGGTCGTACGCGGTGACAGTTGATAACCGAATCTCTCGAACGCAAAAATCGCTCTTCATATCTTTCGCCTCAAAAATCGACCTTCGAGAGGCTTCGAGAGGCTTCGAGAATTTTATGTTCGTTTATTTCCTTTGTCTCTTAACGTCTCGATATTTGTCTCTGTGCTTCTCGTCTTTTGTCTCTCTCTGTCTCGTTTGTTATGTTTTTATTTATGTTTATTTGTGTCTTGGTACTTTTTGCATGTGTGTGGCCGTATTCGTATAAGTGTTTTTGATCGCTAATTTTCGGGATGCATGTGACGATGTAATCGCCACACTATACATAATTAAAGGTTGTAATTATAGATACTATTTTGTTAGAATTAAAAACAATTATAATTATAGATATTATAACAGGCATCATTATAAGGATTCATAACTTTTAGTATAATTCTAAGAAACTATAATAGGCATATAATTATAGACAATTATAACTTTTAGTTATATATTAAATGATATTACTACATTAATAGCCGATGCATTTGTTGTATTTTTTAATTTGTGTATTTTTAAATTTTCAGATTTAAAACCGCATTACTGTTTTGAAGTTATTTTTCTCTAATATTAGAGATAATTTATTCAAATATGATTTCTTAAATTATATAAATGTATTTGTAATCTAATTAATTTAGGTTAAATGTATATGCTTGGAATTATATTTTTTGTTTGCATAGATTTGACTGAAAAAAGTGCTTATCCCTGATTTTTTTAAAACTCAGTATTCTTACGTATTTTGATACTCTGATTACGAATATGATAGTGAGAATTGGCGACTATTTGATGGTGAAAATCATAAAAACCCCATAAAAATTATAATTTTTAACATTTATCTCAGTAAATACAGAAAATCATGATAAATATTTTACAAAAGTTTTAGACCTTATAGAGATAAACATTTTATGTTCTATTCGTTTTTATCGTACGAGTGATAGTTTTCAATAAAAACGATGGAATCTAAATTTTGTATCTGTTCTGTCCTTTCATTTAAGCATGTACTTTGCAGTACATGTATGATTCTACATGGGTTTGTAACTTCCCACGCAAAGCGAGGTTCCACGCAAACCTATTTGTCTAGTTTTTTGGTAGTGGAGTCCTCTGCTGGGGGGCAGAACCCACTGTTTCCGTGCATACACTTTTCTACGCGAAGAGAGGTTCCACATGGGTTTGCAACTTTCTACGCAAAGCGAGGTTCCACGCAAACTTATTTGTCTAGTTTTTTGGTAGTGGAGTCCTCTGCTGGGGTGCAGAACCCACTGTTTCCAGGCATACACTTTTCCACACAAAGCGAGATTCCACATGAGTTTGCAACTTTCTACGCAAAGCGAGGTTCCACGCAAACTTATTCATCTAGTTTTTTGATAGTGGAGTTCTTCGCAGACGGAACCCACTGTTTCCACGCATACACTTTTCCACACAAAGCGAGATTCCACATGGGTTTGCAACTTTCCACACAAAGCGAGGTTCCACGCAAACCTATTTGTCTAGTTTTTGCTAGTGGAGCCTCCTGCAGGAAGGCGGAACTCACTGTTTCCAGGCATACACTTTTTCACACAAAGCGAGATTCCACATGGATTTGCAACTTTCTACGCAAAGCGAGGTTCCACGCAAACTTATTCATCTAGTTTTTTGATAGTGAAGTTCTTCGCAGACGGAACCCACTGTTTCCACGCATACACTTTTCCACACAAAGCGAGATTCCACATGGGTTTGCAACTTTCTACGCAAAGCGAGGTTCCACGCAAACCTATTTATCTAGTTTTTTGCTAGTGGAGCCCCCTGCAGGAAGGCGGAACCCACTGTTTCCAGGCATACACTTTTCCACACAAAGCGAGATTCCACATGGGTTTGCAACTTTCTACGCAAAGCGAGGTTCCACGCAAACTTATTCGTCTAATTTTTTGATAGTGGAGTTCTTCGCAGACGGAACCCACTGTTTCCACGCATACACTTTTCCACACAAAGCGAGATTCCACATGGGTTTGCAACTTTCTACGCAAAGCGGGGTTTCACGCAAACCTATTTATCTTGTTTTTTGATAGTGGAGTTCCCCGTAGACTGTTTTCACACATACACTTTTCTACACAAAACGAGGTTCCACATGGGTTTACAATTTTATACGCAAAGCGAAGTTCTACGCAAATCTATTTGTCTAGTTTTTTGGTAATAAAGCCTCCCCCAAGAGGGCGAAATCCACTGTTTCCACGCATATACTTTTCCACGCGAAGCGAGGTTCCGCATGGGTTTGCAACTTTCTACGCAAAGCGAGGTTCCACATAGGTTTGCAACTTTTCACGCAAAGCGAGGTCATATATTGGGACTCCTACGCAGTACCGTCAGTACTTTGTAGTTTTACCTATACAGCAATTGGTTTGAGATATATGTTTAATTTTGATTTCCTCAAAAACTACTATTCGTACAATGAAAAAGTATAAAACTTATAGTATTTATCTCTGCAAAATCTAAAATTTTTATCTAAAATTTTTATTATAATTTTCCGTATTTACTAAAATAAATGTTAAAAACTATAATTTTTATAGGTTTTTCATGGTTCTTATCATGAAAGTCAAGTAGTCGCCAATTTTCACTATGATATTCGTAATCATTGCATCAAAATATGTAAGAATACTGAGTTTCAAAAAAATCGGAAGTGAACATTTGGACCTTTACCCCTGAAATATATTTTTGTGACAATATTTATATGTTTTTAATTTTCAGCATTACTATAGCACAAAAAGATTTTTAATGTATTTTAATTGGTACCTAAGTATAAAAAAGTCATATTATCTCACAATTAGTTTAAATTTGATATTGCGTAAGAAATAATATTTATTTTTGCTGCAGAATTTGTCTCTGTAAATCAAAATGTTTATAGATCAAAAATTTATTTTGTTGTATGAAAAAATCTTTAGCTATTGTATTTTATCTAATTGTTATATAATAAAGAGTTATATAATAAACTGTTATATAATAAAAGAGACGATATATTATAATAAAGATACATTTATTATGACAAAATATGTAAATCTAAAGCATTTTGAAAATTAATACTTTATTAATTAATTTCTTATTTATTATTGAAAAAATTGCAAAACGGTAAAAAACGTTTTTACCATACTCAGTTTGACCTGCTCTACCTGCACTTGACGGGTGGGGCGTAAGTTACCGGACACCCCGTATATGAAGCACACCGTCAAAATCTCTGACCAATTTGAAAACAATTTGATGATATGCACTGTGTATATTATTTTTCATACTGTATATTATTTATTTTATATTTTATATAATATTTAATACAGAAAAGAAACGTGCACGTAATATAAATGTTATTTTATTAATGATATTACACGCTTTTCCGACCTCTGATTGTACAGTAATATTAATAATGCAAATCACAAACATTCGCGTCTTGCACTTTTTCACGAAAGTCACAAAAAGAAGAGAATTCGCGATGTATGTAGAAGCTCTTTCCTAACAACTGTATTATTTTCGCAATCGATATCCTCTTGCACCGTTCAGGAAAAAATACAACAAGTCCACTTGTCTGGAACGAGACATAGAATTAAGGATGAAAAGGTATATCCCTTCATAATAAAATTATTCATACGTACATCCAATTTTTGCAAAACGGTTACGTGCTTGTAAATGAACGACTGACACTTATATCTGATAGATAGATGTCGTAGTTGTTCCTTTTACATTAAATATAACGCAAGGAGAGTTTCTGAACAAGTACATCTATCATAAACATTTTTACACATTTTTAACTTTTTATAAATATATATATAAATATATATATTATATATTTATATATTTATTAAATAATTATTATATATTTATTAAAGAAAATATAAATTTAAAAAAATCTGTATCATAATAATTTAATAAATATATTTATTATTTTTACCATAATATTTATCGTAAATATTTTCTGATATTTATGATAAATAAATAATTTTGAATAATTTTATTATGAGGGGATATATCTTCCTATTCTTAATTATTCTATGTCTCGTTCGAGAGGACATGAACTATAGGATATTATACAAAAGATCGAGATCAGTCGATCTCGCGTTACCGAAGACGCACTGTCTCTTGAAAAATGGTAAACCTTGTTTGGAATTATTATTACAATGTTGTGTACAAAGTGTCAGCGTTAATTGGCCACATTTGAAATCAAGGGTGAAAATATTTCGCGTTAGCATAGTGACAATAATTATGTTGGCTGTTTTTATCTCTCAAGTAATAAATCGATATGCAGTGTTGTGCTTAGATGATTTTAAAATTGACTAGATAAAAATAAGATAAGAATGTGTAAATTTATCTTAGATAAGATAAAATTAATTTTGTTTTAAATATATCTAAATAAAAAATAAAATTATTCAGCAATTTATCTAAATAACTTTCAAATAATATTATTTTTAAAAATACTTATATAAACACAGTTATAAAAAAATGTAAATTATGAAAAAGATATAAAAAATATATTTTTATTTTTATTTACAAGTTTTTATCGCTTACTTCTCAAGTTCTGGCTATTTAAGTATTTTTATGACTCTAAACCAAATTATCTGAATATTATTCCAGATAATTTAATAAACCAGTGTTGATCTAATGTAGAGATGATATAATTATTTTATTCTCTTTCTCTGCGTTTCTGTCTTTCGTAAATCTTACTTTGTACATTGCAGTATATATGTATCATGATGGCAATATCTGTATTTATATTTATATCTTTTAAGATAATTAATCTTAAATTATTCTTGCGACTTACAACGTTAGTTTTTGTTTCATCGTAGTATTTTTATTATGTTTAAAATAATTATCGTAGTATTAAAATATACCGAAGACTCCCATTTTGGCATAATTTAATATGTGAAAGCAAATATTTATTCTATTTCGATACCTGTCAAACAGCTGGTTTTCGTCCGTATAGTTATAATAGGCTCGATTCAATTCGACATATATGCTGTTATTTATTAAATATCCAAACAAAAGGAGAGTTTCGGTATATTTTACATGTCTGTTCTATCGATTTCAACCACTATTTTATTGAAAAACATTTTTATTTTAACGTAAATCGCAAAAATTTTCATGATATATTTTCTCGCTTCTGACGTCATCAATCCAAGATTACCGCAGTGAGTATGCAGAAGCCTTAAGACAAGTTTAAAAGGCACATCAAAAATTTGTGTTATTTTCCTCAGTTTAGAGGGACAAAAATTGATAAATCACAGTTATCAAACACGCGACAAGATGTAAGACGTTCGTCCTCAAATTTTCTTAAAAAAATATTAGATTTCCATGTT